TAAAAAGTAAAAAAAAAATAAAATATTTCAATTTTTATTGAATCAGAGAGGAAGAACTAAACGTCATTCCCTCATACGTCCGGTACATTTGGTTGATCTTGGTTTAATCGATATCGAATGCAAGTCTTAAAGGGTAAAAGTCGGATGGATTTCAAGACTAATATAATTAAAACTCCACACTAAGAATATTTTATGTAATGCATTAAAACTTATTGAATTAATTTTGAACACATGGTAAATGACAATACAGTGAATCAGAATGATTTCAACGTTTTCATTAAATTATAGATATTTACTGCATTTTTGTAAATTGTTGACGTCGCCAAGCAATAAAATTACACAAAACTTTTGATTTAATGGTTTCATTACACACAATGATACATGTAAACAATTACAATAATACAGTCTATTAAATAACATGTACATAATCTATAGAAACGCAAGCAATTTATAATATCACGTTCTTCGAATTTGAGGTGAAATTCACTGCAGGATCAATGCGTGTGCATACCTTAATACTTGTGCATCACTTATGCCCAGGACTTTCCTGTCACCTCGCTGCTCGTATGTTACCATCGAAACCATGTAACATCTGTTTAAAATATATTCTCATTGGAGCGACATTTGCAAGAACCTTTTGTAAAACAGGGTAAAAGACATAAAAAAAGCTTGATTTTCTTATATACAAAAACTTCGAATTTTTTTTTCACTCAAATGAAGAGTTAACACTTGCTGGTGAAAGCCTGCAAATTTATACCAATGGCTGGCACTCAGAGCCATTGAGCAGTGAGGATTTTTTGTGTGCATACCTACTAAGATACCCGGAGCTCTGTTTATACAGAATCGTCCGAAGGACTTGATCTATTTGGAGTTCAATCAAACGACGTAATTATCAACTCATAATGATATTTCCATTCCGGACAATTTTTTCTTTCTTGACAACCTCTCTCTTTTCTCTCTCCAAAGCTTATAATCAACATTTCACAATTAATTGTCAGGACTTAACCTTTTGCAGACAAATAGACAGACAGATAGACAAACAGGCAGGTAGACAGAAGGATAGACAGACAGATAGACAGACAAATAGACAGATAGACAGACAAATAGACAGACAGATAGACAGACAAATAGACAGACAGATAGACAGACAAATAGACAGACAGATAGACAGACAAATAGACAGACAGATAGACAGACAAATAGACAGACAGATAGACAAACAGGCAGGTAAACAGAAGGATAGAAGTATGTATAGACAAAAAATATACACCCTCTAATCATTAATTACAAGGGCTTAAATATAGAATGAGATGTAGATTATTGCATTGAATAGAGTCAAGGTACATAATAGAATTTTGTTAATTTTTTGTGATAAAAGATGAATTCTTAAAGAAGATAGCTATTATTAGAAAAACCACACAAATATAAATTTCTTAAAGTTTAATGGCGAATAATGGCCATGGCGGCGCTACAATTTTCAGTTATTTAAGCAAGTACAATTAGTTACTGGTTAAGATCGTAACCAAGGTTACCGACCCAAATACATTGGGCGATTTTGGCAACCCAAATGGCAAATGGCAAATACATGTAAATGAAAATTCACAAGAAATTGTCAAATATAGAAATGAATATGAAATAGGCAAATATACAAAAGAATCTGTTAAACAACCTACTGGCAAATACACCACGTAATACATTGCAAATGTTTCATCCAGTCTGACACAAATAAGCAAATTGAAATTTCACACATATTAAAAATAATTTTGTACAGTTGTAGCGAGCCCTGGGAACAGATGCTCACTAAATATAACCCTATTTAAGTTCAGCTAAAGATTGCGTAGACTTATTCCATTGGTAATCGTAAGAAAATCATTTACATGTTAAAGCAATAGTGATTTCTGGCGACAGATACTCACAACACACACAAATCACTATTCAAGTCTAACGGCAGATTGTAGATTGCATCTTGAGAATGGTATCTTCATTGGAGCTGGTACAGTAATGGTTGGAAACATCAACAGCCATGGAAGGTTACAGCCATTCAGTGCGCCATGACGAAGTTATGTATCGAACAAAGAAATGTACAAGGCTGAAAATACAAAAAAAAAAAAAAACAAACAGCAGCAAAATGACACCAAATAGACATTTATTCATATATATTCATACATTACATAAAAGGTGTTGGTGGGTGGGAAATTTTTTAACACAGTATAAGGAATAAACAAATTTACAACTTGAGATGCAGGATACATCTGCTTTCCTTGGTTCTCTAACGGAAAAGGAAGTCGCAAGGGTTAGACTAAAAACTCGAAAGCTGATAGAACGGGGAAACCCTAATAACCCAAAATAACCCCAAATATTGGCCTCTCTAATAACGCGATTTAATTTTCAGCAATTAAATCGAATTATTAGAGAAAACCACACAAATATAAATTTCTTAAAGTTAATTGGCGAATAATGGCCATGGCAGCACTACAATTTTCAGTTATTTAAGCAAGTACATTAAGTTACTGGTTAGGATCGTAACCAAGGTTACCGACCCAAATACATTTGGCGATTTTGGCAAACCAAATGGCAAATGGCAAATACGAGGGCAGTTCAATAAATAATGTCATGAACTATATGACATACATTACAGATATCGTATGACATTAAACATCACTTTCCCTTATTTTTGAATCTTTCGTGAATTTATAACAGTCTATGTGACCACTTTTCATCACATAGTTTCATCATGAGAAGCTGGGAAACAAGGGCTTTTCGAGACACTGCATTATAAATGAATGTAAAAGAATCGGTAAACTAGGGTGAAAATAAAAGCTTCATTAAAGCTGCCGTAAAACTTTATAAAAATCCCAAAGAAATATTAACTGAAATATGTGACATTTACAGCAACCAATGCCTATTGTATAGGCAAAAGAGCAGGTGGATTTCAATGATAAAAAATATATAATGGGCATCAAAAATGGGTACCCTCCTTGCCAACAAAAATTATAAAAACTATTGTACTGTTCGCCAAATTTCAACAAATAATACTTGATGATGTTTGATTGACTTTAAGACACATAGCAAATTTGATAGACATCACATCGGGGGTAATTTATACTGTTTCTAAGAAACGTTTTGCGGTAAAAAAAAAAAGCTTGATACTCAAAGGTCACCCTATATTTTGAAAAATTAGTGAAAATGACATCGTGTACGAAATTCATAACAATTATTTTAAAATATCAGTAATTGTACTTATCCACGTTTGTTTTATTTTCAAACAGATATTGGAACATGAATCCATTGCTTGAAACCCTAAAAACGAAATTTACCATAAGATGTACTTGATAAAAACGGTGAATTTCTGAAAAGTACACGGGTATGCAAGAGCACAAAGACAGTATTACATGTAATTTTCTTAAACATCAGTGGTAATGTTATTCAAAATCGTAATCTGGGAGACAGTTCAATTTCTGGAAGAGTCTATAAAGCACTTTTTTTGGTCAAAAAATCAAAAGGTTTATAAGAGGAAGGGCCTAGAATCAGGAATCCACTACATTGAATTTCTACAAGACAGCGTCCAAACCGGCATGCCCTGAAGATTAAAGGGGGTTTCGGGATGAACAGAAAGTTAATGTTTTTTTACATTAACAATATTTGCAAGATCGTTAACCTTTTGACTTGTTTCTATCTCCAAACTTAAAAAAATACCTTTCAGAAGGAAGAAACAAGTCCTAGAAATCATTGGATCTGCCATTTTCCAGTATACTGAGGGTCATACCCAAAAATGAGTTCTACAAACCATCAGAAATTGCATAAAACATGTAACGGTCATGTATTTTACTTAGAAGAGATTAATTAGTAAAATCATGAAGAATAAATCATTAAAAAGTGACTTTTGCTTCTTTCTGAGCATCGAGGACATTATTTATTGAACAGCCCTCGTACATGTAAATGAAAAATCACAAGAAATTGTCAAATATAGAAATGAATATGAAATAGGCAAATTTACAAATAAATCTGTTAAACAACCTACTGGCAAATACACCACGTAATACATTGCAAATGTTTCATCCAGTCTGACACAAATAAGCAAATTGAAATTACACACATATTAAAAATAATTATGTACAGTAGTCTGTTGTAGCGAGCCCTGGGAACAGATGCTCACTAAATATAACCCTATTTAAGTTCAGCTAAAGATTGCGCCGATGGACACTATGTGTCCACCGCCACAATGGTGGTAGCTGAACGCTAATAACTAAAATGCCCCCAACCATCCCCAATCCCTTTCTTTAGAACGGCAGTGCACATAAATTGCATACTAAGACACTTAAATGAGTATAAAACAAACACATTAGTTACATTAGTGCATCAGTGTCCATTTAAATGTGATTTACATTATTTAGTCAGTGAAATCGAATGCCATGGCCATTTTAAGCAGGAAAAACACCAACCACTGACATGATAAAATTGTGTAAAGCTTTCTTCAAAGTTTCAACAAATATTTTATTGCCTTGCTCTGACAAGTGCACTCCATCCTCTTTAAGCAAATTGTGACCAACTCTAGTGAACTCTGGGTAACGAATATATCCCCCTTGATGTGCCAGAAGTTTCGTTGCAACAAAGCTATTAACTCGAACCCTTGCTTTATTAAGAGACCTGTTGTCCCTAGCATTACGCCAAGTCAATCTAGGTAATGTCTAAGCCAAATAATTTTAGTGTACGGTAACAGGACCGTAATTGATTCTAAAGAATCATTTATGCTGTAACGCAAGGCACATGATGGAATTTGACCTATGTCGTTGCCCCAACAATGTAGATCCAGATATTGAGGGGGATCTTCATACCTTAACATTAATTTGATTTTAGGGAGGAGATGTCGCCATCTCATGCCGCCTTTTCCCTGTCACCAGATATTAGCCTTCAATGTGGATAACCCAAGGTTGGACCCCCCATTTTGTCTAGCATAACCAAAAGCATGCCATATTATTGACGATACAACAATCCATATTCTTACTTCCTCTGAAATATATGTAAACAAAAATTGAATATATATTTAATATAACATTTCCAGCCTGGTATTAGAAAACCTATCCAGCTATTTGGCTTGAGGTGCTAAAAGTAATACAACTGATTGAATCTTTAGCCATCAATCAAATTTGAGGTTGGTATTCTTATATATCTCTTGTAAGCTTTCGATCCCCAACGACCAAATTCTTGAATTTGATCATCTGACATGCCGTTAATAGAAGCTGTTGTGGCACCACCTATCCCAAAGGAATGTGACTTGTACTTATTATTGTCTACCCCAATGCATGACAAAGACTTTTTCAAAATGGCATTGAATTGATAGCGTGTTAATGGTGACTTGTCGAAGTGACAGAAAAAGGGGCCTTTAGTCACGGGACGTTGAACTGAATATTGTTTTAGTAGCTTGACTGGACATATCTTTCCCTCAACTGCAGGTAGAACCAAAACAACCCCTTTTCCAAACTGGTCAGTTTTAGAATGAGACAAATGAATTTTAACATCTGAATTGTCCTTGGAGAATTGGATGCTTGTGGCATCCAAGGCATGAGAACTACTACTTTTCTTACTATCTAAGACCAATCCCCCAACCCTAAATAGGCCAAAAAATGAGCATGAAAAATCTGCTGAAAACAATGTAGTTTCATAGGATGATCTACAGACAATTGGGAGTACATTCAATATTTTCCCCAACAAATCTGGTGTAATTGGCAATCTAGCATCTACTGAACTTTGCAGTCTTGACATGCCTACCACCATCTTTTTGATAACAAAGTTTTGGGTGGGGTCTCGGTTACCAATTAGTTTACATTTAAAGCTTATACATGTACCTGACAGATATGTCCTTACAGTAGCAGAAGACAGACCCTTTAATGAATAACTAGCTACGAATTCTATAATCTGTTTTTCATCAGGAGGCCAAATCAGATGTAACCCACAAGATAACCTGAAACAATCAAATTCAACTAAACCTGTCTGATAAGCAAGTCTTGTTTTTGCTGAAATGGAACTCTGAACTAATCTGTCAAATTCAGTCTGGAGATGATGGTTTGAAAGGACTCTGGAATTGATGTTGGCTCCAAGTCTGCTAGGGGTGCAAGTGACCGAAAACGCTGAAACTGACAACGAGATAGAGCATCAGCAACCTCATTATGAACACCTAAAATATGACAAGCCTTAAACTGTATATTGTTTAACATGGAATGAAGTACCAGGGGACGAATTAAGCACATAACACGCTTAGACCTAGAAGATTTTTTGTCCAAAATTGTTACTAATGCCTCGTTGTCCACATGGAAAACTATTTTTCTGCTGAATAACTGACTTCCCCAAGCATGAAATGCCAAAACAATTGGAACAAGTTCAAGGAATGTGATGTCCCTGATTACTTCAGTACCAGCCCACTCACTTGGCCATTTAAAAAGCAACCAATGATTCTTAAAGAAAGCACCACAACCTAATTCTGAATTTCCTGCACTGTCAGTAAATAATTCAAATTGATCATCATCTATCCAGTCAATTTGTGGAAAGTAAAAGCAGTCATTGAACAAATCTAAAAATATAAGCCACACACCCAAGTCCTCCTTAACTGCCAAAGAAACCCTGATAAAGTGATGTGGATTACAGACTCCTTGCATGATGTCATAAATACGCCTAGTGAAAGCTCGGCCTGACGGAATTGCACGCAAACAAAAATTCAACAAACCTGCAAGAGCCTGAAATTCCTTTAGAGTAGCCTTCTTTCTTAACATAAAACTATTGATCAAATCCTTTAAACTATTTACCTTATCAACTGGAATTCTTAACATTATTTCAACTGAATCAAACTGAAAACCCAAAAAGGTCAGGGAAGTTGAAGGCCACACTGTTTTATCGTCAGCTAAGGGGACACCTAACTGCTCGCAGAGCTCCACAAACAATGACATAAGTTCATTACATGCATTGCTACCTGCCCTACCAGCAAACAAAAAATCATCTAAGTAATGCACTACAGATTTCTGACCCGACTCTTGCTTCAATATCCATTCCAAACCTGATGAAAATTTCTCAAAAAGACTACAAGACACTGAACATCCTATAGGCAGGCATTTGTCAAAGCAAAACATATCATTTATTTTAAAACCTAAAAGCTCAAAATCTGACGGGTGAACAGGAAGCAACCTAAATGCAGACTTTAGGTCCATTTTACCCATCAAGGCCCCTTTCCCAAGGAACTTAGTAACCTAACAGCATCATCTAATGAGGAATAATTCACTGAGGAGAAAGATGGATCAATAAATGAGTTAACGCTTGAGTTTTCAGGATAAGATAAATGATGTATCAACCTAAATGAGCCATCCTTTTTCGGTACAAAACCTACAGGTGAAAGCCTTAGATTGGGAAAGGGTCTTGAATGGAATGGGCCTGCAACTCTTCCAGCATTAATTTCTTTAAACACTTTTTCCATAATTTCAAGCTCATTATCTCTAGCTGATTTTAAATTAGAACAATTAGTAGCTACCCTTGGACCATTGTAATTAAGTTTGAAACCTTCAGAAAAACCCTTTAACAAAATTTCTGAACTCTTCCTATTATAATCAGAGTTTTGTAAATAAGCTTCAAGAACTTCCACTTTAATTGGGGAAAAACCTAGGCCCTGTAAATTGTGGTACACCGGGGAATCGTGCTCTAGGCTGGGGTGGTCTTGATGAAAGTCCCTGGGCCCTGTATTGTAAAGGGTATCTTTGACCTGAAAAATCTCTAGAAGCATATTGATTTTTAGCAGACGGGCCTGTACACATCACTGATGGATGAGGGCCGCTACAGCTCAAACATTTATGTAAATAATGGCAATGCTGTTTCACACAAACCCCATTATTGTTATAGTCATAACATTTAAGAATGCATCAGTCCACTGCTGAACATTTGTAATTTTAACTGTAGCCCGTTTCGGTTCAAACACTACTTCACCATTAGAGACCGTTAGAGTTTGCTTACCATCCATCGGGACCGGATTGGATAGAAGCTGACCTAAATCAATGTATTCACCCTTAACAATTTTTTGTTTAATCGATTCTGTAACATTTGCCCCCAAACTACCGTATATGCTATCGATCTCATTACCTGTTGTATCTAAATTGACCTCTGGCTCAGGTTCCTTACTGGAACTAATGTCAGCCATGCTTGAAGTAGCAATAATATCTGTACAGGGTGTGTTTTCCTCTACTGGGGTCACAGATCCCCTTTTTCTTTTGGGACCACCTGTAGTCGATGCTGGCACTGGGTTGGCTGCGGATTTCCGCTTTGCGGGCTTGGCATTTTTACTTCTAGGCATTTTCTGAAACTACCGACTTTAGAGTAAGAAATAATGATAGAAATCATAAAATTATTAATATTATATGTTTATTTATTTTATTTAGTTACTATTATTCATTGCTAAAATATTGTCTCAGCTTTACAACTTTCCTGTTTTATATGGTGTCGAGTGGTTACGACCCGATTCCGTGTTCGACCCGCGTGGTGACGACCCGATTGGTTTCGACCTTCTTATAATTATATACATACAGGTAAATGTAGGGGTTCACACTATAAGGTATGGTGTATACCTTAGGTATACACTTTCAAGGTAGCTGTATGGCTTCAGGGAGGGATACGTGTCAATTATTGGTTGTCAACATTGAAGTCAAGAGTAAACTTGAGATTGATTTAAGGACAAGGATGCAATTAATTTCATTTGAAAAAGATTATAAATAATTTATAAATATTTGAACATTTTCCTTAAAAACTATTCAGCCCTTTGTGGGATAATATACGTAATAATAAATGGCTTAGATAAACATAATTATTTAGCAATATTTTAATAATGATTAAACAGTCACGGTCGGTTTTAAACAAATCTGAATATTTTGAATTGGACTCCCAAAAATGTTTTAAACTATCGAAATTGTTATAATTAATATTGCTTCGGAACGAAACCACTCGGGTCAAATCCACGCGGGTCGAACAAGGAAAAGGGTCGAAACCAAGCGGGTCGAACAAGGAATGGGGTCGTAACCACCCGCATTCTTTTATATTACTCATGTGTTTTTTTCAAAATCGAAAAACATCCGAAGAATCATTCACATAATGGTGCATATACACACGAAAATAAAAATTGTTAATACATGTAATATTCTCCTTAAATTTCAATGCAAAACATGAAAATTTTTTAACACATTATAAGAAATAAACAAATTTACAACTTGAGATGAAGGATACATCTTCTTTCCTTGGTTCTCTAACGGAAAAGGAAGTCGCAAGGGTTAGACTAAAAACTCGAAAGCTGATAGAACGGGGAAACACTAATAACCCAAATAACTCCAAATATTGGCCTCTCTAATAACGCGATTTGATTTTCAGCAATTAAATCGAAATATTTTAATTTAGATTTACAAATACAATTTATCATTGAATGAAATGCTGACAGACGTTTTTCATACAAATTGTTAGTCCATTATTTATACACTGAATTGACCACGGATTTTTTCCGTTATTTTCTGATTATGACAACGAGCACATGGCGGGTGTGACCGGTCGGCAGGGGATGCTCACTCCTCTATGGCACCTGATCCCACCTCTGATGTTTCGGAGGTCCGTGTTTGCTCTGCTTTTATTTTGTATATTTGTAGACGTCGAGATTGAATACTGTTCGTTATTTCCATATCCTTCTTTCACCAGGATTGCAGCTATTTTGAAATAAATGAATATTTCCAATGATACATATATGTATAAAGACTTACTAGAATCCATTGGGCGTATGTCCTTGCAGTGAACCGATTTATTGGAATCATTACAATATCCACCGATATATACGTATCTGCATTCAAATGATATTTATAACTGTGTCTCTTAACTAGGTGAAGTATAGAATCTATATGAATTAAATCATAAGAAAACATAGCATCATAGTAAACTGCGAAAAAATATTTTCAAATGATATATCAATTCATTTATTATATATTTTGTAATCTGAAAATGTTACTTGATATGCCCTTTATGAGAGGTGAAATATAAATTAATCAACCCACCATCTTACTTATAAATTTATTAATCTTTTAGTAGTATGTACCATAACTCTATTACGATACAACACAATACTATCACATTGTTTTTTAGGGTTCTGCAATTAGTGTGTATTGTTAAAATATGCATCATGTCTGCCTGTCTGTTTTTTCTTTATCTCTGCCTGTCTGTTAATTTGTCTGCATAACCATAGCCTTGTCAATTAATATGATATGTGGGACATTTCGCCTAACAGAAAAAAAGAGTTAGAGAATAAGAAAAAATGAGAAAGAAGACCAGTGATTTCTTTATTTCTTGCTATTTACAGTGCATTTAAAATGACAATAAATCAGGTTAAAGTAATCCTTGATGTATTTTAATATACTCGATGGTAAAAGAACACAAAAATCAAATCATTGTTTCAGTACGTTTAAACACTGTTTATTTTGTGTATCATACCTAAAATTTCCTGAAAAGATAAAGCTCTACCTACTGTTTACTCTCTTAACTTCACAGGATGATGATCTTAACAGCTGCTTTAATAATATTGTGAGAGGAAAAATTATGTTAATTTAGTTTAGCTCAACTCTGTTTCTTAAATTGGAAGTGTGAATGAGAAAACAATTTTAATATCGAAATGTGCATGTTAATCTTTCTTTAAAAATATATATAACAATTTTTTTTTTTAAAGTAATTGTCTGAGAAAAAGAAAAATAAATATTCGCCACATGCAGTTTCCAACAAAATATCACCACCAGATTTTAAACTATAATATGATATCTGTTTTCTTAATCTATTAAAATGAAGAAAAAATATTCTATCTACTTACTTTTCAATGTATATGACATTTCAGTAAATATGATTGACTATTAATATTTCATTTAATTTGTTCCATAAAACAAACAAGAATCACTACTTTTTTAACAAATAAATGGGGTTGGGTATCATCTCTATTACAATACATGTACTTTTGTGTTATAGATATATTGATATAAATGTAATTTTGTTATACCTGGTTAATATTAGTTTTTGCATTAAATAAAGTAAGCATATCAATGCATAGATGGTAGAGATCTGTCCTCCACTACATGTGCCCTTTCAGTAGATTCTCAGTTCACTGAATAGCCGAGTTTAATCCTATTAAATTTTTTAGTCAACCTCAGCAGATGAATGTAGAATTGATTCAATATATATTAATTTTTCAATCAATACATACATGTATTTAGATAAACCGCCAGCGTCAAACAGAAATTATAAGGGAAAGTAGAGCTGGCTTTGTACATTTCAACTGTTTCATTTTACAATCAATGTCTTTTAGTCAACCAAAAAGAAGAATGGGCTCTTCTATCAACTCCCTGAAATATAAATCATGAGAATACAATTTCAAACAAATAAAGAAATCGATCTTTTCAATTGTCTATAAATTATATTTATTTATTAATTGTGACAGGGTAGATTAAATCCAGACTTACCTTTACATGTAATTCTCTAATTATAGCTCTTGTATACATTATATTACATTAATAGAAACGCTGCTACGCGTAATATAGCCTGTTTAAAGTACATACCGTGTACCAGTAATGCAGCAGGGCGTCACGAACAATCTGATGTTTTTTATGATGCTCATTTATAGAATTCGGGCAAACTCGTTCATTCGTTTTTAGCTCGGCAACTGTTCTCTCTGATAAGAAACAATCCTCGTCTTCTTCAGTGATATTTATATCTCTACAAGGGTATCCAACTTCATAGAGAAGTTGATGATGGAAAGTAGTGGTAACCTCCCTAAGCAAATCTTCAATTTGAATTCTGATCTTCTTGGTATCTGCGCTTGTTAAATTGATTTTATCATCTGGAGTAAACGCTTGCAATTGAATGGAAGTCTTATTAACAGCAATAGCAATGTTAATATCACCTCCCTTTTCCTTGTAAAAAGCAATGTTTTTACAGAGCCATTTCTCACTTAGTAATTCCCATTTCGAAAAACAGATTGCAACAAGTCTAAAAAAAAAGAAATGCGGAATAAATGTTTTGAAAAAAAAGACCAAAATCGGAGTTTTAAATCCGTCGTTGAAGAAATCAAAGCCTTCTGTTGAGAAGTCAGTCTTATTAATACTAGGGATGTAGTACAAGGATTCTTGTCTATTTCCAAAGAATCCCGCACCTTTCCCTTCAACTTCTTGGGTTTTCATTTCTGCAAGAATGCCAAGTTTCTCCATGAATGGTATGATATGATCCTTTTCGAGAACATATGATTCCTTTTGGTTTTCCCTCCACACCCTGACCAGTGTTGAATCTGAAATCATCCCATTCTTCATGAAAATGTCCCACTCTTTAACCCTGCTGCATGCTGAGCGAGCGTGAGTAGGGTCTGTTATGATATTCTTAAAAGCGTCTACAAACCAACCAACGTCTAATATTATGTTGTCTCTCAGTCCCTCTTCTGAGAAATAGATTATCTGGCCCACCTCCGAAAAGTATCTGAGCATATCATCCAACTCATTTTCTTTAAGGATTTTAAATTCTTTCTCACGTTTTAGGCCATATAAGCTGATAATTCTCTTTGCCTTTCGTTCTTGTACAAATCGCTCAAATATATACCATATGTGGGGAATTTTTTCACCCCAGTGTGGAAGACTTTTTGCTGTACGAACAATACAATTTCTGACTTGTTCTATTGCTTCTTCCTGGTGTACATTCAATTCTCCAAATGGACATTCAATCTCATAGTAACGTGCGGGTGAAATATGATCATTCAGTGTATGTTCACTAGGCAAGCATCTCTCTAGTGCGTCATAGAATGAATTTTGGCTAGAGGTGGTTTCCTTCCGATACTGTAAAAGACAATGATCATGAAATTAATAACAATAAACGTAAAATATGCAATTTATTGTTACATGAAACTAAGTGAGGTCGATGATTAAAATACAAGAAGAATGTTGAAATTTGGTATATTTACCCAAATTAAACCAAATTATTATTTTTTTCTTATTTATGTCTGCTTAATGTGGTTTTAAACATGATGCAAATAGATTATTATAAAGCTAGAAACAATTATATTATCAATGAATAGTTTTATGCATTTTGGATTAGTTTACGTAAACTGATATACATTGTACACCTTTCACTGATTTTACTCTTCTATGTAACTTTGCAGACTATTTTTCTTCAAGGAGTTTTGTATATTCTGCTTGTAATTTTTTTTTATTAAATACAATTGTATAAATTTCAAAATTTAAATATAAGAAAATAGTTTTTTTAAAGAAGAAAAAAGTTAAATGTAAAAGATCAAAAGTGGCAAAATAACGACATAAGACGGAAAGAGATAACCGATAAGCCATGAAAGATTTTAACCTTGACACAGTCATGATGAGAGGCAATCAGGATAACAGGGTTGGCCTTCGTTTCATCACTTTCTTTAGCTTTCCCATCCTTACAGTAGGTCTTAATGGATTGCAGCCAAAACACAAAGTAGTCTTGAAAAAAAATGTGATGCATCATAAATTCTCTTACATGTAAACGGTGATTCTAAGTTATATGAGATGCATGTAATCATGACAGCCATAGTTATAAATGCATAACACTGTATATAACAGGTATTCTGTTCGAAAGAGTATTTACTTGCAAATGTCCAGTTATGAAATAAAGATCCTACGGGGTTGTGTCGGTCAGTGTCGTATAACATGGCTTTCTCCTCCAGCTCTTTAGACATGTCAACCACCACGAGATAAAAGGCTCTTCTGGAGAGATAAATCTGGTGACACGCGTAATACGCTACTTGTCCAGCAAAATCCGCCATACTTATAAGCTGTCTGACATCTGTGCTGGAAGACGTCCTGTCAGATTGGGTTCCATTTTTATCAAAATCTGAAAGAATGTAAGAAAAGTTTTGCAGATGAAAATAGTCCTATTCATAAAATAAAATCATACATGTTTTAAAATACAGAATCTTAGTGAAGTGTTCACATGACATAATTTTTAACATCTTAACAGAATGATCCGTTTTCAAAACAATTAAAATTTTATTAAAAAGAATTCTAGACTTAGTGAAAATTCACCATCTATAACAATATCAGCATATTAACATATTTTAAAAAAAATCACCTATTAATGTGTCATCTTTAATTTCGAACAAATTCTCGTGAATATCAAGACCGACGGTTGTCTCAGTTGGTTGTTTGTTTTCTTCTTTGTTTTCCCTTTGAAGTCTTCTAAGAAGAGTCGTTTTTCCTGCGCCTGCGCATCCCACTATCATTCCTCTGGCACGGCATATGTTCACACTGCCTTCACTTGAAATTTTGACGAACCTTTTTCTTGCTTCTATGTCCCAAGACAGTACTTCTCTGGGTATTTGCACTAAACAGAACATGAGTCTCATTATAATCATCCTCTTAACTGGCATATACATGTACAAACATATATTGTTAGGGGATTGCAAGTTGATTCTGAAGGGGCTGGGGGGCTGGCTATTTTCTCCAAGTCAAATTATTTAATTTTCATATGGATAAAGGGCACAATTTTATTTTCATATTTACTAAAACAAATATCTGACATTCAAAATGAAAAAAGAAATCATCAATCCAAAATTCTAAATAGGTGGTGGTGGTGATGGTGAGGAGGGGGGGGGGGGGTTAATGGCTTTGGTCATGTTCAGATTATTTATTTTCCTCCCAGTCGAGGACAGATTAATTACTAGCAACATTTTCGAGAACGGGTTATTTATTTCCCTTTGTCAGTCTCTCCCTTTCCTCAGAATCAAACACTCGTCCCCTTTTCTTTTTTTCCCTCGCTGAATGTGGGATATAATAATTTCGGACTGTCGTTCCCTCCGTTTATATTTCTGTCTTTCTGTAACGCTTTCGTTTTAAGCCATATACCTTATAAGTAGAATTTTAAACGAGGATTTAATTTTGTTATTATTAGCTAGGGTGCTGACATTGCTAAAATTTAATATCGCTAAAAGATTAATTGCGTATTATTTGTAATAGCTGCTTTAGTTAGCATTTAAAAGTCGCTAAAATTACTTCTCGCTAAAATTAAAATACCTGATTTTAGGTTGAAATCGATAAATTTGCGTCTTGCTAAAATTTTGATTTTGAGGTAACAATTTTCAAGGTCTAAGTTATAAAATAAAAGAATTCTGTCTGTTTCAAGGTCAAGATCAAGTAAATGAAAAATACCTAGTAAACAGATCCATCAAATTCCAGAAATTAATTCCTGTAATGATGCTTTATAACGTTAGCTTGGTCAAATTAGGTGTTTCGGGTCGTACTTTGTAGGTAAAGAAGATGAAAAACCATATTTTAAACAGTCGTTTTCAATGAAAAATGAAGAAAACTCAAATTGAATGCCATGAAAATACCCTATTTTCTACATAATTCTGCTTATGTCGTAAAGTACGGGAAAAAATGTTGAAATTTATAATTATGTCATAATAATGTAGTACATGTAACTTCACAAAATTGTTCTTGTCATTTACCAGATTTTGACCTTAGAAATTTTCCACACGTTTCCGCGCGATATCTTGAGAAGCATTTGAGCTTGTACAATGACGTTTTATACCTCGTTTCTCTATGGCCTATGGAAGATTTTGAAGACAAATGTCTAGGTCGTAAATAATGAAAGTCTGTCTGTTTTGACACTTTTCCGCACGTTTCCACGCGATACCCTGGGTAGCGTTTGAGCTCTCGTTGACCTATGAAAGACCCCTATTTGATTTTTAGTGTTCAAAAGGTCAAGGTCGTAAATTGATATTCTGTTTCGGTGTAAAACTTTCAATTCCAGGCGATATCTTAAGCGGCTTTCAATTTTTGAAATTTTGTGTTTTACCAAAACTCAGGATCCCTTTGTCCCCCCTGCACGTTTTAAAGTGCCCCATCGAGCTATCCCCCTCAAGGGTCAGCACAGGATTATCTGAATAAGCTTGTTACAATGTGCATTTAAAACTAATCTCTAAACGATTGGGTAAAAAAGCATATTCATTCAAAATAAATTCTTTTCCCTCTAAATCCAATATGAAAAACTAAAACAAAGAAAAAAATCTGCGAAATAAGTCATGCTGCTTAAAATTACTAAGATAAAAATGTTCATCTCTATATATCTATGGGCTTCGATAACTTGGCCCGATTTACAAAGAACTTGTGTATAAGACCCACATTTCATTCTTATAATTATAAATTTAAAAAAAAAACCACTTAACTAACAGGGGTTACAATTAAAATAATTTTCCAATCATCAAATGTATTTATCAAATATTCATATGTGATAACATAAGATTTAATACTTTTGATTTTGATTTTTTTGAAAGATTACGCTAATGAAAAACAAATAAAAATAAATGTATTTTTTTTTACACAAATCAAGAAAATGAAAGAGTTACTATAGAGGATCTAATTAAAAAAATTATGAAGATTCTCCCTGAAATATGACATTTTTACTAGAGTGTCACAGAGGTAATACTACATAAACCAGTGAACCACATAACTAGAGACAGATCTTTGAGACGTAATACTTACAACGGCTACAGATCCTGGCATAAATCCTCCAGTCAGACACGGTACAGTGTGTGATGATGTCCAGCTGTAGTTTGTCTATGAAGAGGTCGTACATCTTCTCCGGTCTGTCCGGTACATACAGACATCTCTCTCCCTCACTCCTTTCATAATCCCAGAGTCTGCAGTATTCATATACCACGTCACGTGACGCCGTGGTCAGGAAAAACTCCAGATCACTGTCCTCCACCAGACACTCCGTAACAAAGGCGTACATGACGTCATGTCGGATGTCGTCTGATATAAAGGTTATCACACCGTCACTTGTTTCTGTGATTTCATCAGAGTGATCTACCAAGCCGTTATCAGTAATATCAGGGAAATATTTCTGTCTGATTTTGTCCATTATTATTTTGTGTGATTGTTCAATGAACTTAATCCGATATTTATCAGATATAAGTAAACAATACAATAGACATCTGACTGTCGTTGGATAGCCAAGGATTTTACCTGAAATGACAAACAAATAAATAAATTATAAATCACCAAACAAATAAATTAACAAGCAAATTCAAAGAATTGTGGTCCCCCACTTTCGGAGTCTTTGTGGATGAGATGTTATTTTTTATGACATATTGTGTGTAATATGAACATACTATCATATGTCATTTATTTTGAAAGTAACACTGAAGTTGATTTTTTTAAAGGATGAAAACCCTAATCCTGACCATTAAAAAGTTATGGCCAAAGTAAAATGTTTTTTCAAAAGTTACATATGTGAAGTATGAAAGCCCTAGCCCTCACCGTTCAAAAGTTATGGTCAAGGTTAAAGTTTTTTCATAAGTACGTACATCTCAAAGGTCAAGGTGAAAAGGTCAAAGTCGTTTGTATCCAATGAAATGTCTTGCAACAAGGAATACATATGTGAAATATAAAAGTTCTAGAATCTACTGTTTAAAAGTTGGGACGAAGGTTAAGTTTTTTCATAAGTACGTAAATCTCCAAGGTCAAGGTCAAAAGGTCAAGGTTGTTGTTATCCAATGAAAGGTCTTCTCACAAGGATTACATTTTTGAAGTATGAATGCCTTAGTCCTCACCGTTCAAAAGATATGGTCAAGGTTAAAGTTTTTTTCATTAGTACATAAATCTCCAAGGTCAACGTCAAAAGGTCAAGGTTGTTGTTATCCAAGGAAAGGTATTGCTACATACAATACATATTTGAAATATAAAAGTCCTAGCACCTACTACTCAAAAGTTATGGCCAGAGTAAAATGTTGGAATTTTTGTGTAAAAGTGGGTCATACTCCAAGGTCAAGATCAAAAGGTCTAATTTGGTGGTACCCAAAGAAAGGTCTTGTCACAAGGAATACACATGTGACATATGAAAGTCATAGCTCCACTAAATCAAAAGTTATGGGCAAGGTTAAAGTTTTTGTGACGGACAGACTGACAGACTGACAGACTGACGGACAGACGGACAGACAGACAGACGAATGAGATTTAATGTCCCCTCGCTTTCGCGAAAGCGGGGGACAATAAAATAAAATAAATAAATTGTTAACATTCAGTAGAACTACATGGACTGCACTTCAATCTTTTTCTTTACACTGTATGTACATGTGAGTATTAAGTCCTAGTGAACAGAGATGTTTTAGGATGTGAACCACCCCACCCCTACCACATTTTTTTAATCTCTACTTTAACCATCGCTGAATCAATGCGATTAAAAAGATGAGGAGATTGATAATTAATTTAATAATAATCCTGAAATACGAATGCAAATCTGTAAAAAAATGATTTTTTATTCTTAATAATAGATATAAATTGAAATAACGTTTTGCTTTCGTCGCCCGCGAGACACAGTGATTCGAGCATCTGCTTTAGAGTCCAGGAGTAGGGAGTTCATTCTTTTAATAGCGACACCACATTATTTTCTTGTTTGTCGGACATCTGATGACAAAAGTAGGCAAACAATTTAGTAATAATTTTCTTTAAACTTTTTTGAAGGAAATATTTTTAGGATGAACTTGCATATACATTCCCCCTACCTTATTTTTCTTTTTTTTACATATAGCAGAATGACGAGGAGTACGAAAAATGGAGAGGAAATAAAAGGGAAAAAATATCAATAAGACATTGTAATTAAGCGATCTTGCATTGGGAGCATAAAAACACAGTCATGTTTAGCAGGATACACAGAAAAAGCAGGAAAAGACTGGGGGGGGGGGGGGGGGGGAGTAATTGTAACATTTCATACATTGAATTTAAAGAGGCTTTCAATGGAGCTGCCCCCCCTTTCTTAAAAAGTCTACAGAATTTTCTTTCCATCAACTGTCATATATATCTTTTTAGCTTGTAAAGGAATTTTGTATTTCTGTACTCCAGCAATTAAAAAATCAACTTCTTAGACAGCACATTCCTGTCTTGGTCAATGAAAAAATGCAAAACTCAAATCAATAGATTCATGTTTCTGCACCACCCTCACGATCCCAACCCCTCCTCCCTACACATAGAGACACGCATGAAGACATACATCCGATCCACAAAAAAACACACTTTTGGAAAGGAAGGAGGGCAGCTAGAAAAAAAAAACTAACCTAAAAATAGAATAAAATATTGACTTATTCTATATTTCTATATATTAACGATGAATAATGCTTGTAAAAGTCCAAAATACTGCAATGATGAGTTTGTTTGTTGATTAAAAGGTCTCACTTCGAATATTTCACTGAAACACTGTTACATTGACAACATCCTTCGCCGTGGAGAGCCTCAATTTGACCTTGGCACTGAGAGCCATTGAGCAGCGAGGGATCATTTTCGTGCCAGCAACTTTCACAACAAGGGACCCCATTTTAATCGGTGTAATTTAAGAACACGTGTTCACGTCCCTCAGTGGGATTAGATCCCGTGACATATATATAAGGATCACACGAGAACTATTCGTTTCCTCCCTACATCCGTTCAAACTTTTATATATGTGCTGTACCTGGATTTTCATCGTCTCTAGTCATTTCAGTCAGAAGTCCTTATTATTTTTTCTTTTTTTTTTTTTTTTTTTTTTTTGCTGTGATTTTATGATGAAACTGATTTTTTTTAAATAGTTCAAAATGCTTCCTGATTAAATTAAGCTGATCTAACTTTTGCACTAAAAAATGAAACAAATGTTTTAAGGCATAACAACAATCAACTCTTCTTGCATTCAACAGTTCCATGGAAGGATAAAGGTGAAACTTTTAAAATGAGGTTAAAATGTAGGAGCCTTTGTAACGCGACATAACTCGTACGTATTATGGAGAGATAACTCTTGTCTACCACCCCGTCAGCGGTACCAGATAGCAAATTTATGCGACCTGAAACATTTTCACAAAGTTGATCTAATATATTTTGCACTAAAAAGTGAAACGATTGTTTTAAGGCATAACAGCAATATCAAATCTACTTGTATTCAACAGTTCCATGGAAGGATAAAGGTGACACTTTTAAAACGAGGGAAGGAATTCATGTATATTGCCTTTGTAACGCGACATAAATCGTACGTATTATGGGGAGATAACTCCTGTCAGTGGTATCAGATAGCAAATTTATACGACCTGAAACATGTTCACCACCTTTCACAATAAATAATGCGGAATACATGTACACTTACATACAGTAGAAAAATAAGAGCAAATGAAAATTCTGTTAAAGAGAATTTTAATTTGGATTAATATTGAAACAATTTTAATTTTACAAAATTTAAGGTAGTTCTATACTCTGCACTAAATGGGCTCAATCTTAATAAATCTGCTTTTAAAAGATAGACATAAATCCCAGCAATGGATAGACATATTTGCATTATTTTTACTCAATAATATTTAAGAAAACGATTAAGCTGTAAAAATTTATATGTTGACGCATTACTTTTCGTGGTATGAGCTCTACACTCAAGGTACCCCCCTAATATCCTTCTTCCAGAAAAAAAAAATTGCAACATTTTCCTGTAATACTGTTAACGTTTGAGTGTATATTTGTACTAACAAAGTTGTACATACTTAAAACAATAATTATACACACCCAATACCTATTGTTCTTAAAATTTATCTTAATTTACTTTAAAAAATTAAAACACACTAGTCTTGTCTGTAAATTGGAGACAATGAAAATGAAAGTGATTGACGGATTTTGCACAAACTGGATAATTTTGTAACAGAAAGTAAGTATGCTGCAAGTGAATCAACTTTTGTCATATACTTATATTCATGAGATAATTTTATAATTTTGCATTAATTCGTGGATAAGCAGTTTGAAGGGGGGTGCGTCTTAAACAATAATTATTGTTCAAAGTAAATTTTATAATGTTTGATTAGTAAAATTTATAAATGTCTAAGTCAAATCGTAGTCATTACTTTTCTTCTGAATTATTACTATTAGCTTCAACTTGGCCGCCGACAATAGTTGCGAGAGTTTTATACAAATCATGCATGTTCTGATGTAGGAAGTTATTACCTAATTATTTCTGTCAACCAAAAGTTGTTCCCAGCCTTCTCTTTTTAATTACTTTATTCTTAGACTGTAGAACAATCAGTTTTTGTATGTTTGTAGACGCGACCGACTTGGAGCAAAATCGTTACCGGATATTTAAAACGCTAACTAAAAGTCAAACCAATATACAATTTGTAGTTCAAAAAATCACATCTCGGAAAAAGGAAGCGCGGTGGCGGTTTTACTATTCGTAAATGATGTTGTGCGAGTGTAGACCTACTTTAAAGCGAAATCGAGGGAGAGAAACAGACTAATGCTTTAACTGACATTAAGTTTTGCAAAATACAAAAAAAACAAAAAAAAACAAGGCTCCAATTAAAAAAAAGATAACCATTGGCGTCGTAACAAGGGAGGCTAGCGGAGGGGGGGTTCAGTCCCATACTTTTTTTTTCAAACGATAGAAATCATATAGATAATAAACATTGGTACGTACGTATACCCCCCCCCCCCCCCACACACACACACATACACTTTCAAAACACACGTTGCAGTTTAGTTAAAGTTGAGGAAGGGTAAGTCGTAGTGTTTGAAAGATAAAAAATGGTCATGAAAGAACTTCAATCTCCCAAAACCCCACTCCTCTGCTTTATTTAAGTAGAAAAAATGACACCCTTTATTTTTAGATTTATGTCTACACAAAGTTACAAGTAGATTTAGGTACTCAGTAATATTTAATCAGATTACTGAACAGATTAATCACTTTTCTATGCAAGGTCTTGGGTAACAAATATAATGAACTGAGCTAATATAAATTTATAGATCCGAATTCACAGAAATAACTAAAAAACTAATTTTAATTTTTCTAGAAAATCAAACTTTCTTACTTGGTTTTCTATAGGTTTTGTTGTCGATGATGTAAATGTCGTTGTGTGGATGAAGACCTATACAGGATCTCACGATGTCAGGTCTAAAGTGTCTCCAGAGCCACGTCACGTGATCTACACTGTCATGTGATCTTCCTCTGTAATGTACAGCCTCCCCTTCTCTTCTTAGTTCCGTTAGAAATTTTTCTCGTTCATCTTTACTCATCTTGATTTTATTTTCTGGGATATTTACTGTAGAAAAAAATATACCGTTTATAATAAACATTTACACTGCAATACCATTATGAATATATACATGTGTATAGGTAGAGATACATTCAAATTATAGATTTACTAAACACGATCAGTTACTTCTATTATAATATATAACATTTTTGAAGAAGTTTTCCCATTATATCACAAATATAATATTTTTATCTATATGCCCTGAAAAACTGCCGAATCACGCCGGATACAGTTATGTTCCCCGGAAACAGTTATGTTGCCCTCCCGAACACAGTTATGTTCCCTCGCGTGCAATCATTCCGCATATTAATTACATCGGGTTCGAAATTCACAGAGGCAGTTGCTAAGCAAACGTAAACAGTTCCACGAAAGTTAAAAAGTCAAGACAACGTATGCGATTTGTTTATTTGAATTCAGAGGAATTAGATAATTTAATTTAGGAGAAAAATTCTTTTAATACAACAAAGGTTATCAACACAAGTGTCAGCATACTGAAAACATTCTGCCATGAAACAGGACGGGATATTTCGGAATTATAATCAAAGTACGTACTTGTGTACATAATGTCCAATAAATATGTTCGATGATCGATTTGGATTCAATGCTTAAAAATGTTATATAACATATATTACATGGTTTAATTCTCGGGCAGCAATAAAATTGCCCCTCGGTGACAGGAAACAATTTACATAACATTACCTTGGGGCAAATTACTCATGTAATATATGTATAATATTAATCTAGTAGCATTAAATTGTAATCGATTAAGTTACTACAAAGCAACTACTAAAAAGAAAGTGATTTTAATGTATAATGTTTCTACTGATAACCTTTTAACATTTTAAAATGTAATCCAATTATTTAAATAAAATTCTGAAAGAAAATTATAACAATTTACAATTATTTTACTCTGACTTACATATCCGGTGTATCATATCATATATCTCCGTGTCCTCCATGGTGACGTGAGTCAGTATGTTCATCTGTAGACGGAGTATCAGTACGTGATCACCGCCAAGACTAGTGACACACTTCTCTCCAGGTTCTCTGTTGTATCTCCGTGATCTCAGGTACACACTGGCTGTGTTATAACTACTGTAACAGAATGGTGTATCACGGTGTATTGATGCTATCGTATACATTGTCTTATCCTTTGTGTCCTCCGTTATCTTGTCCTGATCTTCCCAAAGGTAATCATGTGACTTCAGTCTGTCCAGAGTCTGCTGTGCTTCCTCACGTGTTACAGGATTCTCTTCACAGTACACATACCGTCGTATCTTATTAAGCATGTCCAGCCACTCTGTGTCAGTGAAGTCAGGAGGACCGGAGTCAGAACACAGAAAACAGAATAACACGGACACCTCGTCATCAGTCAGTGTGGAGAACTGATCTAGAAATTAAATGTTTTGTATAACTTAAATAATCTTGAATAATGATTTTCCTTTAATCACTAAATAGTACTACGTACTACCATAAATTCAGCAAATAAATCCGTACAAAGTTTGCGGTCTAACTTATAGAAATATTTACTCTTTGGCTTTTCATTTGGGAAAAAAATATAAAAACATCTATATCAATACATTCGCATGAAGAAAAAAACCTAAATATTTCATTCTACACTAAACAACCGTTATAGTTCTAAACACGGGAATATTTTATGATATAATGATATGATTTATGATATAATTGGTCAGCAGATTCAACGATTATGCATGCATAATTTTAAAATAAGAAAACAAATGGTGCTGCTTAGTCAACAAAGAAAATTATACTTCGATTATTGGTCATCTATAGCATCCCGTCTAACGTATAATTAAAAAAAAACAACATACCAGCGCCTGTGACCTTGATCATATTATGAACATATAACCGTAATGTAACCGTTTGTCCTACTGGAGTAGATGCAAAGTTTCCCCCAGAGGCGTAAACATTACTCTTCAGTAAATGTAATCATAGTCGTTTATTTTTCGATGCCCCTCCCCTCCCCAACACACACTATCGATCAACAAGAATTCTTTTTCGGGGGATGGAGATGCAATATGTTGAAGGATTTTTTTTTAAATACGGGACATTGCCTACTATTCAGAGAGTGGAAAAGTACGAAGGGGGTTCCAAGCAGGGTCATTTCTTCGTTTAGAGTTAAAAAATAAACTAGACTGATATTGTACATGTTGGAAAAGTGTGTACATGTAGTCAACAATTTTTATTGGAATTTTTTATACTCAGTACATGTACCAACGTATGACCAATATCGTTATATTAGAGAAGCACCGACATCTTACGAACGAACGTAACCAAAAACGGGGATCAGTCATTGTAGTCTATTTTATTCACGGTTGGGTTATTTAATTCTTCAATTTTATTGGGATTTCGATAGATAAAAATCCCCACAAGATACCTCAAAGCCACGTCCTGTCGCCAACTTTCAGGGGGGGGGGGGGGGTTCAGCGCAAAAATGGAAGTTAAGTGAATTGTGTTTTTGACATAATTTAAGATACATGTGTATGAGAGCAAGTTCCATATTAGCATGCCATCATAGGACCTATGTCCCCCCTCCCCTAACCCCTGGAATATAATTATATAAATCCGGGTCCAGAAATATTTAGTTGGTTTTCTTTCATTAATATCATTTACAATTTATAACATTGATACCTGCAGTTAAAACGTCAGAGGTGTTTAAAGATACTATGGGCATGATTATTTTAAAATAAAAAGTGAATTCTATGTACCTTTTGGATTTTGCATATGAAATACATCGTAAATATGTACTAGACGGTTAATTTATGAAAGAAGACAACTATGATTATATTGGGACCCGGTATGTATATTGGGGGTCGTGGTGGGGAAGTTGTCTGGTCTAAAAGCACTTGTGATAAGCATATGTGTGCACATACTTTTGAAGGATACCATGACAACTAAGTGACAACTACGTTTCATATTATTCACACTTTTAAAACTCCGTATATATTATCGTCGGTATTCTGGAATCTATCTTTTTTTGTTTTACAACAGCATGGTGAATACATATTTTTCCTTACAAATGAAGCAAGTTATAATTTCGGCTCTAGTTTTTATATGTATATTGGACCCTCTGTTAAAATAACTCTTGTTGTCAAAAGTATAAAGTGTATCTTCTAATTTTATATTTTGACGAATAATGCATGGTTAACAAACAATGACATAGTGGAGCACAACTACAGAACAAAGAAAAGAACTTTACTAGGAAAAATGCACCATCCTACATAAATTCTTATTTTAAGCCTCTTTTAATAATCCACACATATAAACAGATATACATGTACACACGGTCTTATGTAGGAACGGGGTTGAGGGGTTGGGGATAAGCCTCCTCCTAATGAAGTCGAAAAATGAACAATGTAATTTTATAGAGAACTTAGCTACAGTATACTTGATCTCCCTCAATAAAAAAAAAATCTTTCATTTTGGCTTCCCAAGGAATTATTTGGTAGACTGTGGTAGTGACTCTAAACTTTTGGTTGTGACCCCCCCCCCCCCCTCGCTTGCTTCAGGCCTGTAATTTAACATTAAATAAAAGCAGCCCAAGATAATTTAGATTAAGATCGCCATTTATTACATCATCTAAGAAGATACTGTCTACCATGAATGCTCGTTTATTTCTTTGAAGAGATATTTTAATAAATTTAAAAAATAGTAATTCCTCTCTCTCTCTCTCATACTCTCTCACACACACACACAAACAAACACAATACAAGACACTTTATCAAGCGCACTGCCTATTGACTTGATCAGGTCGGAGAGAATACTCGAAATCGGGTATTATCCGTGAAATCGCGTATAATACTCGATATTAGCACCCCTACTAATGTGTTCGGATTATATTCTTTATCGCTGTTAAGTGTAGTGTAACATCCGAGTGGTCGATTTGACCTTTAACGAGACCAGCCTCGAGACCGTGCGAGATCTGCACCAGTTCCTGTAAGATTTAGACAGGAAGTAGATGTGTGTTTTGGGATTTATGCATTTAATGTAAGTAAAGCTCATTTTATTTGACTTCATTCACTTGAACATTTTTTGCACATAAAATTTGATTCAACTAGTCTTCATTTCTCGAATTCTATCACCTCAAACACATGAAACGAGAAACTTTAAATCAGGTGCATTTAGGGTTATCTTCCTTTGTTTACATGCCTCCACGTGGTTGGAAAAATAAACATCTTTTGGTGCTATAAAAATATATAGGGCTTGTCAATGCTTTTGAATTATTATACTAAAGTATTTATTTTGTTCTTGGTGTTGTGAAATATTTTACCCCAGTGTTAAAAGAAGTGAAAATGACCCAATGTGCAGAAAATGTTATAGTCTGTTTTACTTCTAACAATAGCAAATACACAATTTCTCAGTTACTTACATGTAATATATATGTAATAAACGTGTGAAGAAGTGCTTAATTAAAAGAATTTATAATGAATGTGACTTTCAAAAGATTAGAAATGGTAAATGACAATGTAAACAACCCTCAAGTGATCAGCTGGTGATTATTATTCAGGCGCGGATCTAAAAATTTTTCAAGGGGGGGGGGTGAAGAGGAAAAGTATTTATATAACTTACGTTTTACATAAACATGTACATGTAGTTAAATAACTCAATTGGATACAGGGTGCAGTGCGCGTTTTGGAATTCTGGGAGGTAGTTCTGCAGCAAATAACTCCATCTTCCCAAAGTCAAGAGTTTCTGATCCGCTCCGCTCCACATAAACCCTTGACCGAATAGGCGAAGTTTGACGGGGTTAGAAATGCGTTCTCTGATTGGCCTCATGAAAGTCTTCATGAACCAATCAAAATCATTGTTTTATTTGAACTTAAACTAAATTGTAAACAGAAAATCAAGCCAGTTTTAGTCTCAAGGATAACGTCATTATCATTAAATAGCCCAGTTAAAGGTTTGACACAGATTTTTAGTTGAATTATATCGAATTTATTACAAACTCCTAACATTATCTCGAATTCTCTGTTGAATTTGTTTACTCCGATTGGCCAATAGCAGAGGTCAGTAGAGTTCAAAATGTGTATATCTCACTAGATGGCGTGACAGTAAACCCCGTCAAACTTCGCCTATTCGGTCAAGGGTTTATGTGGAGCGGAGCGGATCAGAAACTCTTGACTTTGGGAAGATGCAAATAACTCTAGCTAATTTCATTTCAGTAAAATCAGTATAGATTAAACAAAGAAATCCCTATTTAACACCACGGTAATCTGTAAATTTAAATTCAACTTAAATAAGAAAGTCATTTATGCTTATTTATTTCTAGAACCTTTCTGTACAATCCTACTTCACAGTTTTTAAAACCTCGTTCGCAGTAATTAAACTGGTTCGCATCTGATCGTGAAATGTGTGAAGGTCTTTTGTAAAGTATGTTGAAGTTATTTTATTTATGTATTTAAATCTACGACATAAACATTGGTTTGATAGAGATTTAGAAGTTTTTATTAATTTTAACTTTCGTTTTCATTAATAACATCATTTCGATACCGATGCAATTTAGTGAACTGACTTGTTAGCGCATACAACGGATACTTCGAGAAGAGACACAACTGGCTGAGCTTTCTCGTTTGTAATGTCCCTCGCTGGAAGTGGAGGATATTATTCTATTTCGGTCTGCCTGTCCTTCCGTGCCCCTGTCTGTAGTTCTGTCTGTAACACTTTCAATTTCTTGAAATATTTCGAGAAGCCCTTGAGCTTTTGTTGTGAAATTTTACACAACTTACTATGGAAAACCCCTCTTGATTTTGAAGTAAAAATGTCAATGGTCAAGGTAATGAAATAAAAATTATGTCTGTTTGAACACTTTTGTGTCCGTGCAATATCTCGATAAGCCCTTGAGCTTTAGAAATGAAATTTTCTAGCACAACAACCTATGCTGAAAGGAAGACACCTATAGATTTATTTTGACGTTCAAAGGTCAAGGTAATAAATTCACATCTCTGTGTGAGTGTGTGTAAAACTTTCATTTCCAGTCAATATCAAAAGAAATATTTTTGCGTTTTACAATCAAATTTTATACCATAACTCGATCCACCATATGGCCCCGTGACCAACCAACCCCCCCCCCCCCCTCTTTTTTTTTTTTTTTTTTTTTTTTTTTTTTTAGATCTGCGCAATCCATGCTTTTTCTCCTAAGTGGGAGACGCAGATTCTCTGAATTAGTTTGTTTAGTGAACATGGTGAATGAAACTATTTATGTTGTGGCAATCAGATTAATGGATTTCTAGTTTTCTTACGTTATAGAGGTTTGATAAATGAATTTGTTTACCAGTCATTGTGTTGTTTATTTTTTTTCAATTCTGCTTTTTTTAAGTTTAAAGTTAAAATTCAGCTAGCTAGGTAAAATTAAAGTGGTGATAGTTAACAA